CACACACGGCAGCTTTATGAAATCAGTTGTCGCCAGCGATTTGTCATGACTTACTTGACGTCGCGAGCCTCAAGAAGAGAGCCTGGCAAAAGAAAGGAACCGAAAGCTAGGAACGGCAATGCATTTGTAACTCTTCCGATGCTGAAAATATCCATGAGTGGCGAGGACCACTAATATTCAGACCCTTTGCTCAATTTCCTCCTTTTCCATAAAAAGACACAATAACTAAATGAACGAAAGCTGATGTGCTTCTATGACAGTTCATATTTTTCTAAATCACCCGTGGAAAAAAAATCTGTTCTGTTACGTGTGATAACGCCAAAAAACCGGATAGGTGATAGTGAAAGGTGAGAATTAAATAATTTTACGTCCTCGGTGTAAAATATAAATTTTCTTTATGTATGCATTAAGTGCAATATAATTAATTTTAATTTAATCTAGGTCAAGTTTAACGCCAAGTCCAATTAAAAGAAGTTGAAATAATTTGATATTTCGTAGACCCATCAGTAAAATGGTTGCTTGTCCGTAAACATTTAAAGTTGTTCTCACGGCACAAACTTGTTTAGAAGATCTATTTTACATATTAGATTATGCATATCTTTATTATATTTGTTTCTCTTTGAAATTAATATTTAAAATTATTGCAGCTATTATATTTTTTATTACTTCCCACTCCAATGCTTTTATACTTTGAATGAAGTAAAACTTTTTTTAGTTTGTTTTATTTATATGCATAAGCATGGTGCGTGTGTCCAGAAAAAAACGGAGTAATGGCAATTAAGTTGAACTTAATAATGGGACCAATACGGTAAAGACACGGCGTCTTTATTTAATAATTAATTTTATCGGAACAACGCCAAAAGTAAAGAAAAAGAAAATTACCCACTTGCGTCAGCGTAGCTGTTTTGTTTATGGTCGTGTATAAAATTTACTAGCGGCTATCGAGACGTTATTGTTATTTCTTATAAGGTTCTGAAATATACTCGTTCGTTGAGCAAATGAATAAACGACATGTAAATCGAAAAATAGACCGGAGATATTAACAACTATTTAAAGTAACAGGAAACTAGCCATTACTATGAATAGTCCAGAATGAATTGACCACTGCGTCGCTCGTCGGCCGCGTCTGAGGTAGGCCGATAGTAATCGATACGCAGTATCGTATTGCGTTCTCTTATTGGATAATGTTGTATACTTGATTTACCGATATTCTTACTCCTCGTCGGATATCGATCAACCGGGAGATAGACATTTGTTGTAACGATAGTTTAAAAACATATTTAGCTTTCATCCCTGTCCGATTTGATTTGAACAAAAAATCGTTAAGCTTTACGATCTATAAATTACTTACGTTTATATTTAGGGAGCTGTGATAGCAACAGTGTCCAGGCGCTTGTTTTAAGTCAAGGGTTCAAATTCATGCCGACGCAAAAGATTCCTTGCGACGTTGCGATATATGTATAGCAGAGTTTTGTCTAGCAGTGTGGCGTAAGTTGTTACTTTATTACATTCCGTACACATTTATTACATTCCTTAAAACGCCTTCATTTTTGCCTGAATGGCGGCGATGTGGCTTTGTACCGATAATACAAAATCATTCAGTGCATAGTAAGTACTATGTAAAACCGTCCTCGAACCGACCGGAAGAAAGTCATCTAATGTCTAAGCGATTTGCGCTCAACCGGCCTCAATAGTCCCAGACCCACAAAGGGTCTCAGGTCTCTCTGTTCGGCCCCACCTAAGAGCATAGTCCACTACTATACCTACAACGGATTGGCGACATTCTTAATTTGGATAAATGAAACGGACGCACGGGTCTGTTCCGTTACCATTAACGCTAATTAATTTTCGAAACTTCTGAAATTTAAAATCAAAACACAATTCGCGTAAATTACAAGAAATCTTTGATAATTAAGAAAAAAAACTTTTTTTTGAAGTATAAAAAAATATTTCGAAAATAAGCACCGCCGAGCACGTGATAAATAAGCACATAAAATTGCAATTAACAATTTCATTACTGGCGACACCGGGATTTTTTCATTTGTCGCGATTTGTAATTCAGGTTACTCGAGTATAATAAATTAAAAGTGAAAGCCCAGACCAGCTCCTCAACTAAAATTCCTATTATGTTTTATATCATTAGACTTCGAATACCCATTTTTTGTAACGTGTCGGTAAATTAAATGCAAAGTTCAAGCGTAGTAAACGTCCGGCGCCAATAACAATCTCAATCTAATTATTTGCCATATATACTAAAAGACTTCAATAAACTGAATTGTTGGCAACATATAAAGATGTAAACATGTAAATATGTAAAGATGCAAAGATGTAACGATATATATAACAACATGTAAAGATCATTGTAAAATACAAACACGTCCCTCTAATGCCATTTATGAGCAGTATACAATAAATAACGAACACTGAGCCTAATGTCATGCATTGCAATTTCTAAGTACCTTTCGATCGACTAACATAATAATTATAGAAAAATTTCCTGGTTGACAGCATTCAGAGTAACTCGTTTCATTTTGTGTTGTTACTTTACTGTCTTATAGGTGACGATTGACGAGTTAGCATCCCGTGCGTAGATATCACAATATAACAAAACTTCATCACAGCTTATAACTGATTGGCTGTTCGTTACCTTTTCATTAACTTTTCTTCTAAAACTTTACACAGTATCAAGATCGTTGTGTAAGATATACCAAAAAAACCTTCCTACTACTTAATGGTTTTTATTGATCTTTAATTACCTTAAATAGAAGGGAATTATTAAATTAAGACTAGAGCATACCCAATCATAGTTAAATGTTCGACAAATAAAGACATGAAACGACGGATCTCCACTACCGCTTGGTACCTACAGTTGCCACCTTACCATCCCTTTTGAAGAATGAGGGTGCAGCATTATTTGAACAGGTTTTCGAACCTTTCCTGAAAGGAATCTGTTTTATTTGCGTAGAATATTGGTTTATCAAATCTTATGTAATGGTTAATGCGGTCTACAGTAGGACACTGTGACTGGTAGTCACACACAATGGATTGTACTCGCGAAGAAGAATCGTTATCAACATTTATCGTGATTACTCGTGTATACTATAGCACATGGTATAAAATATACATATGTGGTACAAAGTATATGTTAAAATTTTAAACCTTTGTCGTTTTAGGTCTACGTAAATTTTATGCAACTTTATCCATAGATTTTGCGATATAGCTGGCATGCAAATGATTACAGACAGCCCGCTTATTGCTTTATATAATCATACAGTTTTGTAGTCATTATAATAAAGTTTTCATATATACGACTTTTGAAAATTTATTTTTAAATAAATTTTCTAACGTCGTATTTGCTTGACCACAGAAAAACATTGCAGTTTTCATCGTTTTACTGACTTTTATAGGTTCGTATTTTTAGTCGTCCTATACTACTTACTATCGACACGCATTATATATTTCTCTAAAAATAACCTTAACTTACTATATTCAGTGGAAAATGGATGAAGAGTAACTTTATTGGAATATTTAACATCCCAATCTCAAATACAAACTTCAAACACATAGTTTCGAGCATTGATGCTTTTAAGCTCCAGCTATGAAAAAAACTTGTTTCGTCGAGTTTTTATGGTCCGGCCACTGACATTAAATTTTAATAATTGACCTTGTTCCGTTCCGTTCCAAGTATTCTTTTACTTATGAACGACGTCTAATATTTGTCGCATATCATGAATTACACTTAAAAGGGTAGAATCTGTCTATATATTATTTATTATAAAACTTTGTTCATATATGAAACGATGCATTTAAAAATTATATACGAAACACTAAGATAAATTAAATCTTTAATTAATATCAGAGTAATTAATAAAGACTTTGTAATTACGCCCAGTAGGGGTTTAACGTTTATGTTGCGCAAACCACACCAAAACAGCTTTCACAGAATTAAGATCACAGCTTTTCGGCTCTTAACAAACTGAAACATGTTCTTCGTGTTATAGCTAATTTTAGATATCCATGACATTATTTTACTTCTGCCCAAAACCTCGTTGTTAAAATAATAGCTACATTCAAGAGTTACCTCAACCTCGTAGATTATAACGCCCGGTTTCTGAAACAGTGATCATTGTAGAAGTTATTTGAATTGATCATTCTGATCAATTCAGAGAGTTTAACCATCCTTATGGAAACTCAAATGACAGTCGAAAAGCAATTTGACAGCTGATTAGTTAACTTCTACGATGATCAGTGTTTCAATTTTAATAAATTATTACTCAAGTACCTAACGGTTCGTCACGTTTTTAAGTAATAATCTTCTGCTCAATCGTGCTTTTTAAAAATCTCCATAATGATTTCTTTGATGATGATTTTATTTAGGATTCTTAATAGACATTTAATGGAAACAGATATACTTTTAAAACTTGATACATTTTGTGACGATGACAATTTGAAGGAAAATGTATAGCTCAATGATTTACTGGATGTGACCAACGTACTGCTTCGAAAAAATATTACAAACCAAGAAGAGAAAACAACATTATACCATTTTAACAGGACCTCTATTGCAAAGCTTGTACTAAAAGAGTACTTAAGCAACACAACATAATTTATAGTCTAAAATCCATTAGTCGTCAAAACTTACCTAGGAAGATTATTACAATAATGGTAAAAGCTAAGTCACCAAATCTACGACTCGTTTTTATAACAAAATTAATATTATCTGTTAGGAAAATCTCTACCGAAACCGGTTTCACCTATAGACATAGAAAAAATACAGGTAGATCCTTCGCTACAAATATAATTAGATGGTTCAATATAAAAAGTTATGGACACTGTTAAAAATTATGGGGGCTGATAAGACCATGACGAAATCGAAAATAAAGCAACCTGAAATATTTTATTACGAATATTATATACGAGTTAGTGTTTTTTATACGTTACCCTGAAATAGTAGGATAATTTTTGTAGACCAATTTACTCCCCCTTATAAGAAAACTTACCTGAGGGGAATTGTTGTAAGTAACCCGTTGGTTGTCCACCGATGATGAAATTAGTGGCTCGTGCTCTTCGGAACCGGCGGTCATTGTGAATTTTTATTTTTATTATACGTTATAAGAAAACAATCAAAATTTATATTATATCACAATCATATTAACACTTAACAATTGTGTGACAACCACTTCATGTATTTTTTTTTATTTTTAGGGTTTGGCGGGAATATTGACAAGGCGCACAAGCGTCGCGGCGAATGATGCGTTCCCTTAGACGGTACGCACAGTACTGTGGGCATAGACATCACTATACGCTAAACGTCTTTTCGTCAGCGCTTTTCATTTCTCAGACAATCTCCTTGCTCTTAGGTACTATTTATTTGTACCGTTCGTTGTTTCTTATAGTCGATGTTGATACAATGATTACACAGTTTAATTAGTAAACGCTCGACAAGAATCATACTTGGTTTAGTTCGGATTATTTACATTTTGCGTGTGAAATAAAAGAATCCATCAACTCAAAGGTGTAATAACGAGGAAAAAAAAAACAAAGTGCCGGTATGCAAACGTTTATTTAAATCATATTGGAGATAGCAAATAATTATTCAGTAAATTATTTATACAATATTTAAATGAATATCCTTTATTACTTTCGTTATTCGTACGAATAAAACATGACACATGACAAAGGAACTATTGTATCGTAGACTTGAGATGATTCACGACCTTAACAACAAATTGCCTTATAAATATGGCGAAAGTTATAATATAAACCTAAATATCTAATACACAATGACATCGCATAACATACACTTACACGCTCAAAATATTTGGTGATTTCCCTACCAACAAAACATCTACACTTGCGCATTACTCAAAGTCTTAAATATGCCGATATTATATTAAATAAAACAGCTATACATTCTGAACTGCACTCCTAATTTCAAAAAAAAAACAATTGGTGATATTTTTATAAGCACTCTCGTCGTTATATTTATTTATATATAAATAATACACATTTTATTTACATTGCACAGACGAAGATCGTGTACCTAAACATAGAGTATAAACTATAGGGTATCTGTTATTTTAGCACTACATAGGAAGCATTTTAGGTTATACTGAGCCCGTTTACATTGATTAATGTCCTCTTTATCTTAAGTTTTATATTACGAATAAACGACTATTGATTTATGACGAATTACTGAGAAAATAGAAATGATAAATACAAAAAAAAAATTAAACCAACTTTTATAAAATTAACCCCAAGATTATTTACGTCAATAACAATGTTTTATTACTTCAAATCCTGAACGATCAATTGTATTTCATTGATATTCATATCCTATTAGAATGAATTTTGAATAATGTAATATACACACGACACCAAAACTTCAAAAACCGCATAAACATCTCAAAAACATAAGTTTATTCTACTGGTAAACTTTTATCGAAGACAGAGTAATAAATATAGAAACAAACATTTCTATCGGACAGTGACTACTAACTAATAGAGTTTAATATAGTATTTCGTTTTTCAACAATAATTGGAAGTTATGTTAAAGTTGTATGGAAGGGGTAATTCCTAAACGCATACTATTTTAACCGTGAACTAGCAAAATTGATTTATCTTTTATACATAAAGCAGAGTATGTGGCCTTATACAATATAAAGTTTCTCTGGAACCCTAAAGAAATTTGAAATATTACTTTGTACACAACCGGAGTTTATTATTTTTAAATATGTGCGTGATTAGCTTTTAAGACAGAATTTGGCAGGGAGACAAAAAAAATTGATGCAGATAAACGAAATTAACAACAAGAAAAAAATGGCAAATTCTATTTTAGTTATTTAACTGCATTGTTCTCTTTGATTATACATCGTAGCAGAAAACAGAATCCTGGTAATAACGTAAAAATCTTAGATAAGTTGCACAAAAATACGAGCCTGTCTTAGAAATGTAAGCAACGGAATACTTTTTTTTTTTCGATTTTATAATTTTTCAACATGTATTATATTTTATAACGCGATCTAAATTACCAGAATTCAATTGTAGATAATTGAAATAAGCTCATTATTAACGTCGTCTACATCTTGATCGGAATACTATTTAAATCTAGATCTATTTCTAAAATTCTAACGTCAACTCAACAACGTTCTGACTTCTTCCTGAATGCTGCATAAATGAAAAAAAAAAAGTAGGTGATTGGATTTTATTGAATAATCTGAAGTTAACTTAGACGAAGGTTAAACGTGTGCCGCTTTTTTCTTCAGCCTCGGCGCGGTTTAACAATTTTATAGTCAGGTTTGAGGAAGAGCAAAACCTGATTCGAGTAGGTGACATTTCTACTTTTGATAACTCAATATAAATATTATTTAGATCCCATTTTCATGGTCTAAACGTATAAAGAAATCAAGTTATGTTATGATTAATTATTAGTGTATATCAAATTACATTTGGCAGTGTGTGGGATAGCATTAGTAGGAATATCGGTTATAATATCGAAATTTGATATTTTGCACATTTCTGTATTATTTTACCTTTATCCTGGCTGTTTCTTATCATCTATCTATGTGTGTGTAATGCTTGTACATTTCAACTTTCTTTTTTAGGCTATTATTGTAACTTTGAAGTAAACGATTTCGATTTAAGACATAATTTCTTAATTAAACATTACGATGTTAAAAAAATCATCATCGTAATTATGATTATGGCGATGATGATGTTTAACTATTAACGTAATTAAACGGCGAAGTCCGATGCGTGAAGATGCAAACGAATAGTTTAGTTCTCCACCCAAAAATCTAGAAAACAAAAGTTACGTCTTGAAACTTTGCGTGACTTACAAATGGATACGGGATAAAATATAAATATTTTGAACCTGAAATATCAGTAACATATCAACCGAGTGGCCATTACAATTATATAACAATTAAACACGTTTGAAATCTAACTTCGTAACGGACATTACCTCAATTCCCGTCTTGATAATAATATACGGTGATATCTATGTAAGTCAACGATTTTTTATATCGGGGCAATTTGAATATTAACCACGAAGTTTGTTACACAAATATATTCCATTTGAAAATTTTATAAATCATACTGAACTACATTCATTCATTAAAGCAAACGATAGACTTTTAATGTTTTTATTCAGGCACATTTATGGGAATAGAACGATTGATAGTGAATTTATTTCAAATAAAATCCAACCAATCATGAAAGAAAAAACTATATTTTGGGCCATAAACATAAGTATTAAATTATAATTGATCTTTGAAGTATAAAAAAAACCTATTAAGAACCTTCCTTCATATATCCTTTTATATTTTTATCATACATAATGTGCAAATCAAAAGAAAAATATTTCCTTAAATAACATCGCAATTATGCATAATATTTCGTAACTGTCGCATAAACATTTCGGTAATTTGTTGCATTCCATTTGATTCTAATCAGTTATAATACAACTAGATCGTTAGTAAGTTGTTACGATCGATGGTCGGAACTATAAACGACTCGATGAATCGATTTCATTTTAGCGCAAATCGGATTCCGCCCCCGTAACCTCTACTACTTGCTTATGGCATTTATTGACAATACATATTTTCTACAATGAGCGAGTTAAGAAAAGTTAGTTCACACAGTATTATTTAACAATAAAACCAGATATTTAACTGAGCAAGACGACTCGGTGGTGCCGTTGGTAAGCTATTATTGGCTCTGGCGTCGGATGTCGTGGGTTCGATTCCCACACGGAAAAACTATTTGCGACACAAAAAGACAAAATACATATTTTTAACCGACTTCAAAAAAGAAGGTTTCTCATATCGTATATATTTTTATTCTTTTTTATTTATGTTCGCGGACAACTACGTCGTTTATGAACCGATTTTGATGATTATTTTTTTGTTGGAAAGGAGATATCTCAAGGGTGGTACCATTATAAAGGAAACCTAGATCTGATGATGGCGTACCAGAGAAATTGAGGGCAATCCTCAAATGTTATAGTTATTAACAAGGTTTTTAGTTTCCGGTTTGAAGTCGGTTTTTTTTTGTTAAAAATTATATTCGTCAACATACAGAAGATCGGCTTGAAATGGGAGTGTAATAACTCTCTTGCTTTTCCTGGGATGTGTGAGATAACCGGCGATAAACATTGGCAACACATCTATAACTTTATAACTTTCAACCGAGACCTTTATTAAATAAAGCGTTACTTAGCGTTAGTTACACGTCGCGTCATTTGGTTACAATGTAGCAATATGTTACTGTTACCTCTTTGTGACGTAATTAATAACAGAGCGAATGATTGTGCAGTTCCGAATAATACTAATTAAATAGCAATTCGTGCAATTCGCGCGCATGTACGCGACAAGTGTGAAAATTTAACGTTTAATTTTCAAAATTCACACTTTTCTCTCGATACCTCAATATATATCATGCGAAATTTGCCAGTCAATCGTAATTGCACTTCTGCGTTTCGTCTGGTGAGTGAGGTAGCCGGGGCCCACTTTATTTAAAGGTGGCAACGCATTTGCAAACCCATGTGTGTTGCAATTGTCCATGGGCGGCGGTAATCACTTAACATCAGGTGAACCGCCATCTCGTTTGCCACTTTGTCACATAAAAAAAACAGAAAAAGGATTTTTATTTGATGCCTGAAAAGCTAATACGGAACAGAGACATCCATAGAAAATTTATTTTATTTTTATCACGTTAATTAACAATAACTTTAACAGTGTAAGCAAATATTAATGTACATGAAATTTCTAAAACGACTACCGTAGTGTTGTAACTGTAGCTCACACACACTCACACAAACTCGCGTGTGAGTTTGTGTGAGTGTGTGTGTGTGTGTGTGTGTGAGCTACAGTCAAACACCACGACGCGGCGGTACGATGTCTCAACACCACATCACTATAAATATGTGGGTATATTTTATAATCTCTAGAGACAAAAAAGGCTGTCACCGGTCGTAAACTGGTTTTTTGTCGAGATAGGGCGACCAACTAGTGTCATTATTTCGAGGTACAATTTATGCACACTTTAAAATGCCACAGGTAAACATTAGTTCTAGTCAGCCATGTGTCTTGTATAAAAGATAAAATCAATTATACTTAGTAAAAGGTTTAACAGATTTCGGCTATCGTGGGATATCCTGTATCAAAGAATAAAAGTTTGTCACCCTAACTGAATTATATAAAGCCTCGATAAGGAACCTGTTCTTATAACACCGCTCATGATTACCTGATTAAGTGTTAAAAAAAATAAGTGACGTTGGATCACTCTATAGTTACAGGGGCTTAAAATCTTATTTGAAATAAACTTATCGCAAACCTCCTTGTTCGCAACTCTTTTGAAGGACTTAATTAAACTTAACCTTTTTTGAGAGTTAATTTTATTAATAATGTTTTAAATTCCTCTCGAATTTGAGAAAAAGAAAGTCCGTTTGCTTCGTTTCAAATTGAGGACTTTATGAGTTTTGTCGAATAAGACTAAAGTAGTAAATAAAAGTTAGACAATATATTGCCTGCGAAATATTGACTACTACATTTTACCCAATACGCGAATGTTGTATATAAGAGGTGTTTGACGAACGGATAATTAATGTTTCACTTGACAGTGAAAGTGTCTAGTGTTCGCCGCCACATGGCAACACCATAAATTAAGAAGACGGATTTTCGGTTACCACACTTGCTAAATTAAAGTCAAAATTCCAAACGCTTCTACTCTATGAGGCCGTGATACTCCACACCATTAGTGCAACAGCAGAAATATTTTAGAGCTATTTTATAACGCGTATTTTATAGCAGGCTACGAGAAATTTATAAACGTGAACATAATATTTAATAGTTTGTTTCATTAAAAATCGGTTGTAGAGCTGCTACGTAGAGGCGTTGCCGTTTTTTGTGATGTAATGATAGAACTTGACGATGTAGGAACAGTCTCTGATCTAAAAATTATTTCTGTATTATATCGAGAGCACAGATGACATTGTTGACGCAAAATAATCAGTTGTCAATGAAATAACAAGTCAAAGACGATATCTAACTCACCAGTAAGCAAGTAGTAGGCAACGATTGATAAAAAAAGGTTAATTTTATTAAACGAAACTAATCCTTATACAGTGTAGCATAAAATCGGTATTGTAACTGACTATTATAAACGCAAAACTCCGTCTACAGTCGAAAGTTAACGCGTATTTGTTAAATCCAAATGCGTTTCGCTACACTTTACATAACGAACACTTGAGACAGGGCGTTGCTTGAGTACACGACACGATGAGGTAGGCAGAATTAATAAAAACGAACCTTAAAACAAATAAGTAATGATAATCATAATTAAAGAAAAAGAAGGAAAAATTAAACCACTTTGATCCTAGAACGTGGGGCGTTATAATACTGCTTAAACTATGATACTCGCGCGCTCGTAATGATCCAAACGGTTCGGTGATTTCTATTTATAATTGGGTATGGTACTACCAACTTGGTACGCCCGCTTAGCGTAACCGATGAGAGCATTATAGTACTTCTGCCGTCCAAAGGAAAAGCACCAGTCTATTGTCTGCTCCAGTGAACGAACTTACGCTTAGCACACATCGATGCTAAAGTGATAAGTGATGAAGGGAAGTTGTCACTTTGCACTTTGATTAAAACTTTCAACTAAACCTTATTATTCACTATTCTACATCGAAGTCTAGTTTAGGTGTGCCAAAGTGGACCCTATGGCAAAGAGAGTTGATCGCTTTTCCTTTGAGCGGCATAAGTCTATTGGGACTAGTCATCAGTGACGACGGCAAAGGGAGGAGTTTGCGGCGAGAGCGGCCGACACCGCCGCCTAGCATTCCGCCTTTCCCTAATTTAACAAAAAAAAAAAAGAAATAACGCCCTTAAAACAAACGAGTACCTACCGATGACGCCTAAAGCTAACGAATGAAATCACGCATACGATAACACCATTCATTCAAAACCATCCGGTCGTTTCCATTCATCTAGTTCACAAGTGTTGTGGATAGTACGAAATCGATCGATTTTCAACCGTACCACTGTTGAAATAAGATTCGATCTTCTCTGAATGTTCGAAAGCACACCCACCGAAGCATAACATATCCGAAACGTTCTTGGGTGTGTTAAAATGTAACACTCATTTATTATATATCACTTAGCCTCCCCTCTGCGCCGCATTCCGTGATAGGTGATGGATGAGAACAGATAACTAACTTTATCACAGCCAAAATGGCCGCCTCGCGGAAACCCCTCCCAGCTTATACGACTATAATTTAACACCGCTACAGTACAAAATCTCGCTAATACGGATTTCGCAAATTACGATCAACGTCCGTCTAAAACTATACGCAATATTTCACTAGCACGCGAAAACGTCCCCCGTTTCGGCGGGAAACGAAAAAACTTTACAACTACGTCGGCCGTCGACACAGTCACGGTCCGAAAACGTAATATACGAATTGAAATTATTTTTTCGATTCGACTCAAACACATTGTCCGTTCCACCCGCTCGTAATGTTGGCCACAGCAGCGTTTCCCAAACTATTTTTGTCCATCCCCCGTTGTAAAAAAAATATAGTCCAGTTGAATTGAGTTCAGCAAACTTTAAACATCCACGGACCCCTTTCTCTGAGCACATGCAAAATAATTATTACCCGCCACGAACTTTGTCGATCAACACAAGGATCCAATATTGGATTCGAATGTGTTACTTAGGGAGACTTGAAGCTAGAATGTCTGTCACCTGCGTGCCTAAATCGACTGAAAAATATTAAATCGGAGAAAATAAACACCCTCAATGCTTTAACGTACTCTGCGACTCACTTAGTTCGATAAATGCGATTAGGAACTGGTGTCTGAAGATGTTCCGTCATCCTCAAAGTCGACGAGGCAACGTTTAAGTGACACAATTGTTATTGCTTTACTTCAATTCGAAACGTTAAACGCTATATTTAATTTTCTAAACTGTACCGCATACAGGGGCTGAAGACGTGTCGCTTCGGCGAGCGATCGAACGCAAACTTTGTGTCCGCGATAAAAGATGCACGATATACCAGCGAGTGACAAACAAATACACTCAGGCGTCGTTGACTGAAAGCGTACGATAGAGATGTCGAAAAATATCGATAGGGATGTCGAAAAAATACTTTTGATTTTTTCTATCGATATTTTCAGCCGATTTATTTGGATCCGATATATCAATACAAAGTATGCAAAATCGAAAATCGTATCACGAAACGATATTTTTTCAAATTTGAATCAGGTGTCAAACATTTAATACTTGACATACCTTTATTTTTTGGACGACGGGGTACCTAAGACCTAGGGAAAATATCGATACATCGATATTTTCTTTTCGATATATCGAGGCCGAAAGTGATATTTTTATAAATAACGACGGGGTAACTATGACCTAGAGAAAATATCGATATATCGATCTCTTCAATATACCGACGCCGATGGTGATATTTTTATAAATACCGATATATCTTTACATCTGTTCGCTTTCGACATCCCTAGCGTGCGCTCGCCGATCGCGCGGGCCGTGTGTCGCCGCGCCGATGGGGCCGCGCCGCTGCCGAGCGAAAGTGGACCCTGCGCGGAGGGCGCAAGTCACAGAGTCTGCGGCGCGCGCCTGGCCGGCTGCCGCCTCAGCCGGCCGCCGACCGACCGCTGTCAGTTGTTCTTGTCGATGTTGTGTATCGCCCAGTTGACGGACGCCTTCCACGAGTTCTTCACCGCCTCGATGAACTTCACGCGGAAGTGCTCCAGCGCCTTCTCCTCGGAGAGGTCCATCACCTGTTCCGACGGATAGAGTAAAGTAAATAACAGCCTATAAATGTCCCACAGCTGGGCGAAGGCCTCCTCTATAGAGGGTATCAGGGCATAATCCACCACGCGGCCCCACCGCGGATTGGCGGACTTCACATCGAAATATATTTTTTTATTATGATTTCGAAAATATGCAGGTTTCCTCACGATGTTTTCCTTCGCCGCCGAGCACGTGATAATTCAGCACTTAAAACTAACGATTTCATTGGTGCTGGCACCAGGGATCGAACTCAGGTTGCTCGAGTAAAACTAACTAAACCGAACCGGACCGGACACTGAGCTATCACGGCTCATTACGGAAACCCGTTAGTTAAAAGGAAAGAAAGAAATGTTTATTCAGTACATAGATAGATGACTTCACTGTGGTTGGGCCACGCAACAGTCTGTCCGGGTAAGTGACACAACCACATAGAAAACCGGCAGGAAGTGTGTTATACTTCTGCGTTTCGTCGGGTGAGTGAGGTAGCCGGGGCCCACTTCATTGAAAGGTGACAACGGCATCTGCGATCCTACGGGCGTTGGAAATGTCCATGGGCATAAATGACTACTAGTCTTCCCACAGAAGACCAGCGTGAAGTGGAAGTGTTAAGTGGTAACGCCTGCCTACGTGTTGCAAATATCAACGGGCGGCGGTTATCGTTTAACATTAGATGAACTGCCAGCGCGTTTGCCACCATTTCACATAAAAAAATCCTTAATCTTTTATCTAAAACCTTAGTAAAATCAAATCAGCATCCTATATTGAGTGGAATCAAAGCTTTTACTTACTAAAGTTTCCCTGAGGTACTGAAGGTCCTTCTCAGACCTGAGCTCGGGCAAGCCGGTCGAGATCATCATCGAGAACAGTGACAGGATCAGGTGGCCGTGCTTCCGGAGGATTTTGAAAGCCTGATAACAAAAAAGAAACGTACTCAATTTTATTAGCCTTCAAAGTCAAAGTGAAAGTCGAGTTTTTTTACTCTTCAAAGTGAAAGTCAAAATTTCTCTATTCAATATAGTTCGCTCACCCACACATCCACCGGTTCATTAAACTAGACCTGACCAAAGAACCGCCAAGGAACTCCGCGGTCTTGTTATCTGTTCTTTTTCTATCTCTCCAAAATTATTATCTACGAAACGTTAAATCGAAAATTGGGTAAATATGAATACCAAAATGAAATTAATAGCTATGGAGCGGGGCTATGCTTGATATTTCTCTGCGTGATACAGTTCGCAAGGAAGACAACAAAAGTAACCGACATAGCTCAGATGATTAGCAAGCTGAAGTGGCGATGGGCCAGGCATATAGCTCGTAGAACCGATAACCCCTGGGGAAGAAAGCTTCACGAGTGGCACCCCCGTATTGGCCATCGCAGTTTAGGACGCCCCCCCACTAGATGGAGTGACGACATGCGCAAATGTACGGGAAGTCGATGGATGCAGGCGGTTCAGGATCGTGCTTCGAAGCAGTTGGTGCAGGTGGCATATGTTCAGCAATGGACTCAAACAGGCCGAAATGACGATGACGATAGTTTGTTTACAATTTACGTATCCACAGAACTGCTGTCAACTCCTGGAGTATCTTATAAAGCTCCACTGACCGTCTCGCAGTGCTCCTTGAATATCTTGAAGTCCAGCACCTCGTTGACCCCGGAGCCGCGCTGGCCCTTGTTGATCACGTGGATGAAGTCGTGCGTCAGCACGAACGGCACCCGTTCCCGCTTAAAGCCGTACTTCTGCTTGAAGTGCCCGAGGAAGTGGCCGAAGTCAATGTGGAACAGCTGCCAAAGAAGGTCGTATGAACGATTTGCACATTCGCCGCCCACTTCTATAATAAATATATTATAACTAGTGACCCGCCCCGGCATCGCAAGGGTGCATTGTATTATACTTATAAGCCTTCCACTTGAATCGCTCTATCTAGTAAAAAAAACCACATCATGATCCATTGCCTAGTTTTAAGGTTCTAAGCAGAAATTTAATCACCAATTAAATCACCAACATTAATTACATGAGCTTCACAGCCTTACCACCTCATATTATCATAATAAAACTTTAATTATAAAATTTATATAATCGTCTGATAGTGATAAAGTTACAATTCAACAAGCCGGTATCAAAAGTACAAGACTGGGTAAAAGAGCTTGACAACATTCTGTTTAAAAATTTACAATAAAAAAAAACTTGACAAAATTTACAAATGCAAATTGTTATTTGCATTCGTAAATTTTATCACAAAGATTAAAAAAAAAAAAGAGAACAAAAATGGCGGTATAACTGTTGGTGATTAGTCTGAATGGAGAGAACTGAAGACGTTAAAAAAGAACAAACTATAGACTCTGCACGCACCTGTCCGCACTTCTTGACCATGATGTTGTCCGGATGGCGGTCTGCGATGCCCAGCACGTAGGTGGCCACGCAGTAGCCAGCGCAGCTCATCGTGAACTCCTCCACCGCCTTGTTGAAGCCCCCCTCCGTGGGGTTCTGCTTCCTCAGCCACTCTTCAAGTACCATATTAACGCCACATTAGCCCCGATCACACCATGAGTGAAAATAACTAGTTTCTAGTAGATTATATGTGTTCCACACGAGTCAGCAATTTAAACGATTTCATTGGTGGTACTTAGATTTGAACTCGGGTTTCTCGAGTATATTTAACTAAAACCGAGCGCCCAGACTCTGTCCAGTCACTGCTCTCATCGAATACATCAAATGCTTAACAATAGCAGCAGAGAAAAATAGACAAAGAGTATTTACATTTTACTAATATTGAACAAAGGTCGTTCGCCTTGATGCCCAGATCGGTTCGGCATCAAGCAAGGGGGAACTCACGGAAGAGGTTGGCCTTGGAGATGGTGGAGGCGGCGTTGAAGAGCGCGCTCTGCTTCTGGATGTTGGCCACCGTCTCCGCGTCGTCCACCACCTCGATCATCCCCACCGCGTACTCCATCGAGATGCAGTTGTACGGGTTCAACCTGCGGCAATCATATAATTTCTTATTTCATTTCATTTAAAAGTTAAAAGTAAATAAAGTAACAGCCTATACATATCCCACATATGATGCAAAGGCACCCTCCGTACAGAGGGTATTAGGGCATAGTCCACAACGCGGCCCCAGTATCCTCACGATGTTTTCCTTTTCACGTACATAATTTTTACAAGTACTTATGTACTAATAGGATGACAGAAATTAAAAAGACAAGATGTGATACTAGAAATGAGAAGAAAGAAGATGAAATCGTGAAAAACTTCATATTAATAGCGGTACTATTTTTAAAATGTTTGAAATAACCTTATTAAAGGTGTACCTAAAATCGTATCCGGCGTTCTTCCACAGACGATCCATAATCCTCAGCATTTGCAGCGTGAACATGTCCTGTCGTAGATCGTCGCCGATCTTCAAAATGATCCGGATGTCCGAGCCGGTGGGGTCCACGTTTTCAAACTCCAACATCAGAGGCCGCATTTTGCTGTCCATTACTCTACATCGCTCCGGTCTGTATGAAAACAAGAAATATTTAGTTCGTTTTTTAATTGTATTTTCATAATACAAAATGTCTTCTTGTAACTGATGAACAATAACAGTTTCCTGCCAGTCCTTCTCTGGACTGGTCTAAATTAGAAAACTGGTGGTTTCTTTTTGACATGTAATAAGGGCTTTAAAAAAGCTTATATCGAATAAAAGAATTTCGACTTGACCTTGAATTTGATTGTTCCCATATTTTTTATAAGACTTTAAAATGGCAACTTTGTCAATAACGTATTTTATAATTTAGGAATCCCTTACAGAAGCATAAAAAATTCACTCTTCGTTTTTCAACGTGGACCATATAGATCTCGTAATTTAAATTAATAATATACATTTTATGCTATAAATCTTTACAGCTTAAATAATCCAAAAATGGAGAGAAGAACGGAGCAAGAAAAGGCAAAGGATCGGTATAATATATATTACATATTATAACAGTTAGGCAAGGGGAAATCGGTATATATATTATGTATAATATAATTAAATATATTATGATTTACTAGCTGCTGCCCGCGACTACGTCTATGTGTTATTCTGATGTATATTATTGTAAAATTTAATTAAAATCCATTCAGTAGTATGTGCGTGAAAGCGTAATAACCATCCATCCATACATACAAACTTTCGCCTTTATAATATTAGTAAGGATGTGGAAGCGGTTGGATAGTAAGTGGATAGTCAACAGTTTGCAACACTCACTTAATTTTCTTGCAAAGTAGGCTCGGCGTGAGTGGCGATACAAAATCGCATAGTGTCTCGATGCAGTGCTGCTCCTGTAGGTGCTGGTGTAAAGCCGCCCTGGCTTTCGAGATCTCCTTCTTTTTACGGACGCATTGGCTCGCCCCTGAAATTAAACGTTGAACGTTGGTTAATATTGCTGCTTTAACGCATCATATACAATAGTAGTTTGCGTGTTTTATCCTGTCAATACTTATTATGTTATACACTACCAAAAAGTGTTACTGTCGATTCGCATGATAAACACACAATTCGCAGAATACGATACTATTTTGGTGGAGCTACGCAGCAACTACCACGGCGTCACAGAAGACCAGCTTGTAGTGGAATTATTGTCTGGTGAGTGAGTTAACTGGGGCCCAATATTTAAAAGTTAACTGTCGGTGACCGTAGGTTGATTGTAAGTGTATATGCTGTAATTGTCTAAATTATTGTTTAAATAAAACAAGAGTTTTTCTTCTATGTGGCCTTTCTTTTATGGTCAAGAGCCATAACTTGGAGCTTACTGGGTTAAATTTCGGTTAAGGAATAACGTTAGGTAGGTCAAGTATAAGACGAGCACTTGGACGAACTCGATATACTCACACTTGAGCTTGTCGAGGCAGGTGATCTGGCGCATGAGCGTGTTTATGTGGTCCTGGCAGCCACGGCAATACGCCTCCAGCATCAGACCAAAGCGGACCGACACCGCAGGTACGTGCATCTCTGACCTGGTAAAAATCATACATATTTTTGAAAATCAATAAATATTGAAGTTTCAAACGAAAGCAATAGGACGCATCTCACTTGTATTTCACTTGCGTCTAACAATTAATTGTGTTCGGAGTTACGCAACCGAACAGCTAAATTGTCACTTTGTGCATCATAGGCACATTACACTAACGTACATATGTACGTTTGATGCCTAATTTGAGGCAGTACGCGACTCGCCACCGTCTAACCATAACCATACCATTTATTTATACCGCGTATTCTTTATACCAGTTTATACCATTCACCATTTATACCATAATAAACCATTTACCAGAATATTTATAAACTCTCTCCCTGTACAACCTTCTTCATGGTCCTTCGAGCTAGGCCTTCGGTTCGCGAGTGACTAAACCATCAGTTTTTCGGGAATTCGGAGACCTAACAAGCCTGGTTATCTCCTTACGATACTGCTTATACCAGTAAGCAGTATCGTAAGGAGATAACCAGGTCAGATCCAACCATTGTTATAAATTTTTATTTAGTACCAGTTTTTTGTCAGAAATTACGGAAATGAGGATTGAATGGCATTTTAATGCCCCTTCATGGCCGCAAGCTGGTGGATTATAGGAAAGAGCAGTTCGAAGCCTTAAACACCAACTCTTTTAGCCAAATTGGAAGCATGTCTTAATTCACGACCTCTGTGCGCGCTGTCGGAAGATCCCGAGAATCTGGATATTTAACACCCGCTCACTTCCTCACAGGCAAACCAGGATTGACGATGATAGAAACGGCACATGATGCTAGAACCAGATGGCATCTCACAACAAAAATATTTAAAGACCTATGGACAAGATGGAAAACGGAATACTTGGCGCAACTATCAGCAAGAAACAAGTGGATGAGCCCCCAGGATAACATCAACGTCGATGACCTTGTAGTCATACATGAGGAAAATTTACCAGCGGGAAAGTGGGCCATGGGGCGCGTAATTGACACGCACCCTGGCGATGATGGCTTAATTCGACATTGAAAACCAAAAACGGAATGATGAAACGGCCAATTGTTAAATTATCAGTATTACCGATTAACCAAGGTCATCAAAAACCAATACCAGAAGTCAATCAAGAATGTAAAAAACCAGATGAAAAGAGAAGGAAACCAATAAGATCATCATTCGCAACAGTCGCTACAGCATTATTATTTTTTATGACACTTTTAAAACACCATCGCATGGATTGCATAACATTTACCAAATACCAAACAACCAATCGCTATATTTTGATCCTATATCCAGAATTCAGCTCATCAGGGATAAATGGACTCTTATTGTGTACTATGATATGGAACCTTATTGGGCAGGCATAGATACATACCATAAGATTACAAATTGTATTGGAAACATGTGTGTCTCCATTGAGAAACAGTCTCATTGTAACATGATAGTAACTCAGCTACGTCACGAATACCAGGAGCTAAAATACTATAATGAACCATTACTGACACAGCATTATAACGCTCACGCCAGACGTCGCCGGCGCCGCGGTCTTATTAACGGTGTCAGGTATCTAGCAAATGACCATTTCGGTGTATTGGACGCTCGCTTCGCAGAACATTATGCTAAAGATTTGAATGCATCTTTCACGATTCTTGGCGAACAAATAAAAACCATGAAGTCCGTCAATACCGTAGAAGAGGACATATCACCACATGATGTTCACCACCACGTTATAAGCTACCTCTTAGTCGCAGCTGCCTTATGTGCTGCAGCTGTGCGGGTGTGGAAGAGCGGGCGATGCCGCATGTGTTCGAGACCTGTTCGCCGTAGTGAGGGCCACCACCGACAAGCGTTGGGGGGACCAACGCCGCCCGCATCTCCGAGCGCTACCAGGGGCGCACCAGTGTATAGTGTACCAACGCGAAAGCAGAGTATGCAGTGAAGTGTGTGATACAAACAATATTAGTGTTCGTATGCAAAATTTGGCCATGCGATGGCCCAGTGCTAGGTGCAGTGCGAACAATCCTAGATACATAAATAAGGCTACATCGCCTATTACCAGAGACAATCCTACTTTTACCATAAAGGACACTATAGTTTAATTATACGTTTTTAAGAGAATTTATTTGTATTTTTTTAAGTTTGTGCTTTTTTATTATTTTTATTGATTTAGTGCTTAAGGTTAATGACCATTATGCTTTGAAACCTTTGCTTTATAAGAATTTCACTGTTTTGTAAGTTCTTTTCACTTCACATTTTCATCTCGTAGTCGGGAGAATGCTCGGAGTTACGCAACCGAACAGCGACATTGTCACTTTGTGCATCATAGGCACATTACACTAACGTACATATGTACGTTTAACGCCTAATTTGAGGCAGTACGCGACTCGCCACCGTCTAACCATAATCATACCATTTATTTATACCGCGTATTCTTTATACCAGTTTATACCATTCATCATTTATACCATAATAAACCATTTACCAACTCTCAATTTATAAACTCTCTCCCTGTACAACCTTCTTCAAATTGGTTAATTCATTTGTCAATTGAAGCTTTAATTTAATCACCTTGATTAAGTTTAGGCTTTGTAAATGAACTAAAATAGTTATGTTAGGTAAGTGTTAGATAATATGTCTGCTTGTAGCCGTTAGGCACTGGAAAGCAGTGTGAATATATAAGAGTAACATAATATTTGTAATGTCTAAATTCGTACCTCAAATGCCAAAATAGGAAATGGCCGATGGTCATGTTACTGTAGGCCCGCTGGAGCAGGAACACCGAAAGATCACACATCAGGTACGATTCGTGTTTCAAAGCCTGCACCAGTTGCAGCAGGTAAAGCAGAAGATTTTCATCTCTGTAAGCATTACAAAGGAAACATTATTCCATTTTCAGGCTAGTAGGCTTCCTTTGACGTTTTGTGATAGAGAGAAGGGGTGATAACGAGTATTGACGCATCAACAAGTACTAGTGTTTACTAATATCTTTATGTATATGTATGACTGGAAACAGAGTTTCACAATCCTTGATCCCGCCTACCTATCCTATCTTCTTTCGCAGGGGAGCATACATGATGCAACCCATCACTATTTCCTCGTGCACAGAACATGATTATTACAACACACCCATAACTCCTCTTCACACGGTCGATCGCGTCACTTTTTACTTCCCCGAACGGACTCGTATACTACTATAGGCAAAAATGCGGCCGGCCTTCTGCGAGGTCGCGATACTTCCCCGCACAAACCCGCTCATTCTTGTAACAGCGAGTGCTGTTTCGTGGTCCTACCGCAGTTCGAGGAAGGTGCGGGTCAGCTGTGACGTCACGGTACTTCCCCGGGCGGAGCCGGCGCCGCACAAGCGAAAAGGCGGCCGACCTGATCTCGGCGAGGCACTTGACTGCGAAGCTGCACACGGCCGGTCAGCTGTGACGTCACGGTACTTCCCCGGGCGGAGCCGGCGCCGCACAAGCGAAAAGGCGGCCGACCTGATCTCGGCGAGGCACTTGACGGCGAAGCTGCGCACCGCCGCGTCGGCGTACGCGTAGTCGAGCAGCTCGAGCGCGCTCTCGACGCGCAGCATCGGCCAGCCGGCGACCATGCGCGCCACGCTGGCCGCCTCGGCGCGCTCGCCCCACTCCACGCACGAGAGCAGCTTCGGCAGCAGCTCGGGCGCCTCCGCGCGGAAGTACTCCCTGAAAGCGAACGCCGAGTTCAAGTGTTGTTTGACGGCCTCGGCTGTTGCACGAATGGGCTGGCTCGTCCGGGTATGTACCGCGACCTCGCAGAAGACCGGCGTAAGTGGAGGTGGCCGGTGCCCAATTTTCAAAAGGTTGTCAACGCATCTGCAACCCTCGGGTGTAGCAGATGTCCATGGGCGGTGGTATTCACTCAACATCAGGTGAACACTCTGCTCGCTTGGCAACTTTTCATATTAAAATAAAATACATTATGATTGTGATGACTCCGCGGTGCAGTTGCCGAGTACTGGCTTCGGCACCGGGTCGCGGGTTCGATTCACACACGGGACAATTTGGTGTTTGTTCATGAGAAATTAAAAAAATTATTCGTAAATAATATGTGATGTCCGCAATCCGCAATGGGGCCGCGTAGTGAAATATGGCCCATCAGTGGAACATGTATAGGCTGATACTTTACTGACTGTTCTATTTGTGAATAAATCTGACCAAACAGCATTGGCCAAATGGATATTAAGCAATGAAACCTTAACTAAAAACCGAACAATCAATGAATAGCAATGAATTCCAAAGTCAAAATATCATTATTGTTATTCTTTATCTGACATCTCACTATGCATAACTGTGAAAGTCAATTGAATAAATAGTTTTTACAAGTTACATAATTTCATAGGATTTTCGATTGAAAAAAAGACGTGTTCTCTCTCTATTAATATTATGCTTTCAAAATATAAAGTGCATTTCTGAAGGGCCAAATCAATATTAATTTTTACATTACCAAAACTCTCATACCTGGAAGCCCAAATGTCCTTCTTCTCCTGTTCGTGCATCTCGTACATGGGGTCCTTTTCGGCGGTGGCTCGCAGCTGTTCGAAATCGCGGCTCAAACGAGCGATGACGTCGGGCGAGCCTAGTTCAATATCGTCCGCGTACGCCTTCACGGCCTCTTGTTTCGGGAACAATATGGGAAATTGACAGTCGAAGCTGCAAAAGAAACGGAATATTTGCTACAACTGATGTGCATCAATATTCAATGTTATATTTATGCTCATATTTTTAAGACATTAAAGTTGTGTAATGGAATATTAAATTAAAAACTTTAAAGATTATTTATCTCGTATGTTTGTTTGTTCGTTTCGATACAAATGTTGCGATCAATATTTAATAACTCAACAGGTTAACCGGTAAGAAAAACGAAGTACATGTAGACGTTAACACTTTATTTTTATCCACACAAATCATTATGGATTGAAATTATAAAATAAAGATTTATTTAAACCGCTAAGTACCGCTAAGGTTCAAAAAGTGATCAAGAGGTCTTATAAATAAACGAAATTTACCTTGTATTTGCAAACTATATTTAAAACGAATCCGTGGAGTCTGAATTTGCTTTATTTTACATGTTTTAATGCGCTGTGGTAAAACAATGGGCAACTGTGAGCAACCATAGGTAACTATAGGCAACTGTGAGAAACGATGGGGAACTATGGGCAACTGTGGGCAACCATGGGGAACTGTGGGCAACCATAGACAACCATGGGCAGCCGTGGGCACTCACTTGGCGAAGCGCACTTGCAGGGCGGCGCAGGAGTCCGTGTTGGGGTTGGAGACCACCGTGCCCAGGGGATGCAGCAGCCAGTCGTCACCCTGGGTCTCGTCGGCCACGTGCGTCCACATGAACAGCGTCAGCCCGTCCGTCCTTAGCTGTTCCTTGTAGTCGAAGATCATCGTATTCGCCCACGCCAGCTTGTTGATCGAGTCCTGCAAGATAAATCGTATTGTTACGTGTGTTTATCCCCTTCTCTTACTTAACTCTCACTGATGGTTTTGATTTCATTCCGTAGACTGTTGCTGTCTATGGGGAGGAATGACTCCGATGGCCGTTAACTGTATTAATTGGTGAGGAACGCCGTTGTACCTTGTATACGCTTTGTATTGGTTTCGCCTTGCTCGTAGGCAATGCGCGTAGAAGCGCGTAGAATGCGCGTCATAAACAATAATAGTCATTAATGGTTTTTCTTTTCTTTAACAAATTTATGTACTTTTCATGGCTATACTGGCGCAGTAGGAAATCATAGACTAGTCTAAGATTTTCATCCGAGACATGAATATATATTACCAATTAATTATTGTTCAGGTTTTATATATTTACTATTTTACCAGTACCACGCAATTTATATTATACCAGTGAGGTGGAAATAGGTTTACCTTAGAGTCCTTGCCTCGCCGCTTGCCCTTGGCTTTGGAAAGCTCATAGATAACGAAGCAGAGGCGCGCCATCCGCGGCATGTTGTGCACCTTGATGGGGAAGGTCAGCTCCTCATCCCAATGGGCGACGCCCTCCTTCGAGACAGGCGCCACCCTGGTCTTCTGCGCTTCGCACAGAGCCTTGCCTCCGTGGAAGATGCCCGCCTGGCATACCACCTAGAAGAAAGGACATGCAACTTAGAAATAAGCGTAAACCGAAAGACAATTTAACTTCCATATTTATTTTATACACGCATACATACATATTTTCGCATCTGAGCAATGTAGATATTGAAATTCTCGGCTTTTCTCTACTTTAGTATGCATGTATACTACGTATAAACCTTTCGCTTGAATCACTCTATCCATTGGTAAAAACCGCATTAAAATCCGTTGCGTAGTTTAAAAGATCTAAGCGTAGAAACATCGGGGGCGGTTTTATACTATGTAAAGAAAATACTCAAGACCAATCGTGATTACATAAGACAAAACTATGCCCTAAAACGTTCGTGAAATTCTAACAAGCATGATAATGTAACACAAATGCCATATAGTATACAGTTTTATTCAAGTCTATCTGCTACAGATGATTCTATGGTTTGGTCATTATTGTGGTGGGGCCATACAGTAACTTCTTTTTTTATGTGAAACGTTGTCAAGTGGTTCACCTGATGTTAACTGAATACCGCCGCCCATGATCATCTACAAAACCTGAGGGCTTTTTAGGGCGAGTAGGGTAACCGGGGCTCCGGTTACCTCACTCACCAGACGAAATTCGACAGTATAATGCAAACCATACTACTCCCCTGCACGACCCTGCCCATTCGTGCAACAGAAGAAGCTTTGCGTGGCCCTACCACATTATTATTAATGTGACTTAGTGTGAATGAGACTTTAGTGCGGCCATAAGGCCACTGACCTCTACTAAACGGCCTGGATCCACGTTCAGCCCGCCCACACTCTGCACCATACAAGTGTAGTTCTTGTCTATGGTCCACGAGGACACGTGGTTGTTTTTCTTCTTGCGTATCGTGTTCGAGTAGTCGACCGGCGGTAGTCTCCTCTCGACTGGGATATCGCAGCCGACTGAAATCAATTATTATAGTTATAAAACACGAAACTTTATTTATTATTAATTAACGAATGGAGCGGTTTGTTATCAATAAATTGTTACTGCATGAAATCCATTTTACCATGATATTGTAGCTTTACCCAGGAGGCACTAAGACTACATATTGTCTTGCTAACACGATATACTTTTCTGTTTATATAAACGGACCTAAAATATATTTTCAATGAATAAAGCAGGTCACGTATACAGTGACAATTTCAATCGCGAAGGAAAACAAAATGTTTTCAGATTAGACCCATCTGCGTTTTTCCTCACTAGAAATCTCAAAGAATTACACATTAAATAACGATTAATTATATGAAAAAGGGGTCATCCACACGTTTCTTTCACTCACGCGTCAACTTGTCCATGCTGACGGTCATGACCTGCGGCACTCCGTCCCTCGCCAGCATCTCCTGGATGTAGAGGAACTGGATGAGGGGCTCCTTGCCGAAGAGGTACTCCTCGCGGCCGCACACCTTCAGCACGTAGTTCCGAGGGTCCTCGCCCCTCATGTTCAGCGAGTTCACTTTCTTCTTCAGTATCGTGTCGATGTGCTGCTGCGGCGTGCGCGACACCGGCACGTTCGACGTGAAGGAGAACTGAGGAGACATACGGAATGTTTAATTTTATTTCGTTCGTTACGATTATAATTATAGAGAGCCGTGATAGCTCAGTGCCCGGGCGCTCGCCTTTAATTCTATATACTCGAGCAACCCGACTTCGATCCCCGGTGTCGGCACCAATGAAATGGTTAATTTTATGTGCTGACTTATCACGTGCTCAGCGGTTAAGGATAAATCCTGAAGAAACCTGAACAGTTTCTAATAATAAAAAAATATTTCGAAGATTTGCGAATTTCGCCAATCCGCAATGGGGCCGCTGATAACCTTAGTTAGAGGATACCCTTGGGTATATGAGGAGGCGTTTGCCCAGCAATGGGAAATGTATACTTTACTACTTTTACGATTATGTTTTCGTTCTGCCCAATTTCGCTCCAAAACTATGCCTTTGTTGGTATGGTTCTCAAAATCGTAGCAAGTGCTAATGGGCCGAGTGAAACGAAAAGGTTGTTTATGGTGGCTGACCAGTTTTTATGGTAGGAGTAGGAGCTTCTGCTACTCGTTTCATTATAATATATGTGTTGTAATATATAATAAGTAGAGAAAACTAGACGAAACCCAAAACCAAAAACGCTTATGTTTACGTCGGTCTTATGTGATGTAATACCTTCTCTGACGAGCCTGCCCACTCAATTAATTCATACAAAAGGACAAGCCCAGCTCTTCCCTATACCTAAGTAGTTGAAGTTTTTTTGCTAAAAAAAATTTGCTAACATCGAAATATTCAGCCTATTTCAATTTAAGTATTTTTACGACAAGTCATTGTATTGTCTACTGTTGTACCAGAACTTGCTATCCGATGGATAACTGATAAATAAATATAAATGCTCCCACTACAAAATACGCGAGACAGACGTCGCTAGGTTAACACGTGATGTAAGAACAAAATCGAATTGTCGCTTTTTATATGGAGTAGTTTTTTGTAAGGGAACATCCTTTAGACGTCGATTGGTGCGGTTGATTTTATTATTTTTTACGGATCGAAATGTTTTCAAATAAAAAAGTTAAAACATATAGACAAGCTAATTTCAAATTAATGTCAATTTTCAGTATCAATGAATGTCAGTTTTGAATCAGAATTGACGAATAAAGGGATTCAGTAGAATATTTATTTAATTTCAATATGTTGAAATCGCGCTTCAATATAACAGAAAAGGAGGAGGCGGAAGAGCAAGAAGAATATGAGTCGCAGAGCGAACCGAGTGTGAGTCGTAGAGCAGAGGAGGCAGTTCAGGAATTCGAGCATTTGGAGATCAGATTGGAGAGGAAACTCAACAGGTCAGAAGTCAGCGTGCGTCTCGGCCATCTTGGAAAGACGGCGGATGGAGATGGGTACGCGAAATATTGATATATTGAAAGCGAATACGTCAAATATATAACATCAACAATAATACAAATACGATTATTAAACATCATTGGCAGCATTTATGTAAACGCACAATGGATATGTGTTTATATTTCTGTTTGATTGTTGTCTCTAACAACAACTACGACTGCGAGCTTATGAATAAAACCTATTCTGAATAAATTGAGACAACCTGTAACGCTAAAGAAACCAGCCCATACGCTTTTTTTTTTTTTCAAATGAAACTAGTAAAAACGTTACAGCAACATTTTATGAAATCCGCCTCGATGCGACAGACAATATTTTTCAGAAATTCAAAAAAAACCGTTGAACCGTTTCCGTTCTTGCACACAGGTATGCATATCTCAAGGCCACGTGCACTGGCATGGGCTTGACGGACATAAGAGCTTTGGCTGCCTTCGAGCACTTGCAGTTCGTCGACGTATCAGACAACCTGCTCACTATTGAAGCGCTGCAGGTCGTTACCAAACTGCCGTTCCTCGTTCTCCTGCACGCCGATAGGAATCGGCTTAGTTCCGCCTCGCTAGCCAGGTCGAGATACCTACAGGTCGTCATCTTGAACCACAACAACATAAGATCCGTGCACGACGTGCACCAGCCGGAGCTGAGCACGCTAGAGGTGGGCTACAACAAAGTTGAGAAGATCGAGTTCAATAGCAGAATGCCTACGCTCAAGTGTCTCGACTTTCGCTATAACCTCATCGCGGACGTATCCAACTTGGACTTTCCGAATTTGGACAGTCTGTACTTGGCCGGAAACAAAATAACGAGCCTAGCGGGCATCGAACGTCTGACCAATCTGAGGATACTGCACATGCGGAATAATCCTATCGCGCTGCTGAACGGTTTCGACCAGACCCTCGCGAAGCTGCAGTACATCAATCTGCGTAATTGCAAAGTGGCAACATTGAAACAAATTAGGAAATTACAGGTGCGGATATAATATTTCCATGATCAGTTAGTTCTCTTATAGAAAAGATAATGTCACCCAAAAACTGAACCAGTTAGCCAAAAACGAAACTAACTTGCATACCAGTTTCTACCGATTTCGATTCAGTTCGAAAATTTTTGTCATCACATTTGTAATGTCATTGAGGATGTATCAAATAGTCTTATTAAGTGAAAAGGTGGTCTTTGTACAATTATTTTATTTATATTTTATGTTTCCTCATTTATTGCCATAATAAGGCAAGTACAGTTTGTCTTTTTTCGTTTGGGCCTTTTGAGCGTAAACAATGTAACCTAAACAACGTGAGGGGTTCGTTGGAGTTGGCCAAAAAATTACCTATCATGATTGAAATGCATATTAGTACCTACTAAAAGGAAAGAGCTTCATATGGATTATTTATACTGCAGTATTACTTGTAGCTCTTTTACAAAATAGCGGCAGCAGACGGTTTATGTTGTAGTGTCTGAAGTCACTAGAAATATTAATATTAAGAGGCTGTCCCTACATGGGCGGTACGGGCGATGAAGGCGCTGAAGTGACGGAGGATGAAGACACTGAACAAAGGATTGAGGTTTTAGCTGTGCTCCCACGACTAAAGAGACTTAATAAGGGTATGGTCACACCAGAAGAAAGGTAAATTGATTTATAATTTTTTATGAAAAACAAATATATGTGACTGAATTTAAGTAGCATTGCCTATGGACATTTGTAAGACTCGTAAGGTTGCAGATGTGTTTTGCCACCTTTTAATAAATTGGGCCCCGACTAACTCACTAGACAATATGCAAACGTATCACACTTCCACTTCACTCTGGCCTTCTGTTAGGTTGTGGTACCCTGCCCATTTGTGCAACAGCCGAATATGTTGTGTGGCCCTACCAAAGCGAGGTTAGGTTTGCCGATACTATGCACACGTCAAAATATACAGGCTCCTGTTGAATAATATCAATATAAGCCTTAGTTAATAACAAACCAAGGTTACATACCATTTCAAACTAGGCTTTTTTAAAATCTCTATTGAAAATACAGCATCCGTCACTGTCACTATTAATAGTCATTTAAAACCATCTCGTCTAATATTTGGCTATATCTATATATCTCAGGAAAACATTTATAATGACCATTCATTATCTATGTTGTTACTGTATCTTATCAATGTCTGGTTAAATTTATCTTGTTTCAGTTTATTTAGAATTACTAGTATCACTCAATGATTTCAATTATTCACAGAGATGAAGCAAAAGCTCTTATGACTCAAATACTTGAGGAAGGTCAAAGTGCTGAAGAAGAAAGCGAAGCAGAAGAAATTCAAGAAGAAGAAATAAATAAAAATTAAATGTTTTATGCTCTCTTATTAATGGTATCATTTATAAGTTCTTAAGTCTTGAACCCTAAACACTAAGTTAATTACATTTAATAAGATAAAATTTTAGAAAAAACTTACCTCTGTATTGGCCACTTTTGTGACAAGAATAAAACAATTATTATTCAAATGACTTATAAGGGTTGTTGGCACAGAAGGGCTATCAGCAAGTCTTGGTGGACACCTGTATCGTAGCCGCTCCAACCTCGTGCTTAATGCCCTTTTATTCATACTTTCTTCGGCAAGATATCGCATTCGCATTCGATAGTCATTGACCTCTGAACTTCTTAAATTTTCAAATTCATTCAAGCCTAAACAAAATTGAAACAGGTATGATTCAGTATTATTATTACAAAAGTCTTTTACCAATAGGTAAGTGGTGTAATTATAACATGCAAGCAGCTTAAGTCATTAGTTATACTACAAATTATTTTTGTATATTCAAATCCAAAATTGTAGATATCTATAAGACAAGGAATCACCTCCTATCCTAAATAAAAACAGCATAATAATTTACCTTTCCCAATCAGATTACTGATGTGTGTGTTTAACAAATGTTCCCCAGGCCTCTCAATAGATCTTTCAATAATAACAAGTACTCCACAGACAGGTTTAATATCACGAAGGCGTTTATTCTCATCATCTACTTCTTCATAAACAGCTAAAGAGTTGATAAAGTGGAATACATAACCTGACATCTCATGAAGCATCCCAAACAGTGGGAACTTCACTGCCAAATCCCATAATTCCTGAAAATTTGAATCAAGTTTAATTTTGTTTAACAATTACTTGTGGCAGTGCCAGGCAACAATATTCACTGAACACTGTACTGTAGTGTACACAAATGGGCAAGTTTCGAGCAAGTACCTCACAGAAGTGTTTTGTTTTATGTGAAAAGTTGCCAAACAAGCTGACGGTTCACCTGATGTTAAGTGAATACCGCCGCCCATGAACATCTGCTACACCCCAGGGTTTGCAGATGCGTTGACAACCTTTTTGGAAATTGGGCTCCGGCTACCTCACTCACCAGACAAAACGCGAAAGTATTTCTCATACTTCCACTTTACGCCGGCATGCATGAAAATCAAGTTTTATACTTCTGCATATCATCTGGAGAGTGAGGTAATATTTTTCTTTAAAAAATGGAAAAATATTATTTACAAGTTCTATCATATTTTTTTTTGATGTGAAACATCTATAACCGCACGTAAAACCGATTTCTGGCGACACGCTACATTATGGTATATATATACAGTCTATATGCATTAACTTTAATTAATTATGTGTACTATTACCGAAATCACTGATTAAATGAATTAAGTAGTCACGATTTGAAATAAATTTGTAAATTTTTGTATTTAATGAAAATAAATGTTTATTCAATAAATAGTAATTGTTATCTGGAAAAAAAATTGTAATATTTTACTTTATCATTATGACATATTTAGTTCCTATCACAATCTGTTCTTTTCTGCATATTACTTTTACAAAATAATGTTGATGTTTCACATCTGCCAGGCGTCCCGTGAGGGCTCATTTTTTTTTTTTATTTATTAAAACTACACATAATTATATTTGTTCTGTAATGTTAAGCAAATTATAATTCCATAAAGAAAATATAAGCTAAAGTTATTATAAGCTTATCTATGTTATGTTACCTTTCATTCGGGTCATTAAATAAATACCATTCTATTTTAAGTAATGTCAGAATATTTTATATACGAATGAAGCTTTTGTAGGGTGTATAAAATCTTTAAGCGGTCTACTTTTGCAAATGAATTTATTTCTTATATTCTTGCCTGATATCATTTTGTATCCTATACACAATCTTCTTCATTTTATATTTTACATAATTTAGATATATTTAATTTTCATAAGCCAAGAGATATATATTAAATTTCAAAAGTTAATTAAAATACACAAAAGCATGACATAATTATTTATTAAACTGAAATTTTCATTTGTTACAAGAAACCAAAGATATAATGGAACATTAATCTCAGCTTAAGTATTTGGAATATGTAAACTTGATAAAAAATTTGCTTCTTTCAGTTTTTCTTGTGTATGAGGAAAAATACAATTATTCTTGCATCCTAGATTATTATTTTAAGTATTGATGTAAACAAGTGATACACTTTCTAAAAATCAAAGTCACTTGTCTGCATATGTTACACAATACAGTAACCTACTTCTGGTGGGAACAATATGATGGTATGACGCGTGACTCACGCGGCCCGCTCAGGATGTTCTTGATCACTCACAATATAAAACACTAACCTCCTTGACATCCTGCAAAGTAGCATCCCAGCTAACTGTGAGTGGAATAAATACGGAGTTGGGCATCAGGCATATCAGCTCGACATTATCGGACGTCGAGGATGTCCAGTAGTCCCACGTTAACGCGCAACTCGGCGCGGGGACCATTGTTTTGTTTGATCACTTTCCTGACCACTCAAATTACCCCCACAACATCTTTAAGCCTTTCACTGAAAGCTCCCTAGATAACGGCCGTGTTGCCGCCGACCACTGAAAATATTATACACTAACAGTTATTTATTATTGACACTGCAATGTTGAATCATAGGATTTCCTGGTATTTTGATTGGGGGGGGCAAATCGCCATTCGAAATGAAACTGTCAGTGAATTTACACAAACAACATTGGACTTTATTTTATTAAAATATTTAATAAATGCAATTACCTTCACATCAAACTTTACATAATTTATTGTGTAACAACAAATGAAAAATCATAGAAATAAGTATCAAAAAATCGTAAATAAAGGATAAAGATTACGTGCAACAATCAAGCAACAATCTACTGTAAGTCTAGCACTGTAAAAAATAAACCAATTGTTTATGGTACAGAATATTTTTTTTTATTTGTTGTGAATTTGTGATGTCCAATTTTCCTTCTACGATCAATGATACCATAAGTATTACTGAGGGCGCAACAATTATATTTGTTTGATGAAAGAGTTGCTGAAATAATGGAGTATATGTTTTATAACCCAATTGTGTTTTTGTAAACCAAAGAGAAATATAAACCCAATTTAGAAATACTTTGATATCATCATCATCATCATTTCAGCATGTTTGAGTCTACTCTCTACTGCTGAACATTGGCCTCCGCCACAGAGTGTCACGAAGCACGATCCTAATCCATGTGCATCGATGAACATGGACATTACACATAAACTTCGTCCTATCCATGCCACCCTTTGGGAAACTGTTGAGAACAATGTCTTAAACTTACTCTCGTAGGAAGCGTCTAAAAATGTAGTTGCTCTCTGTCGATTACGAGGAAACAGAAAATATTCTTCATTAATACGAAACATCCGCAAAACACACACACACACACACAAACACACGCGCGCACGCACAATACTTCGTGCTCTCGGCACCTGCGTTTTTTAAATTATTATTACAAACATTCATTTTTAAATTATTGATATAACTTAAGTGCCGTCCATTTCATTTTTATGTTTTATGTTTAATATGAAGCGCACTCCGGCACCCAAGATACAGGCACTGCCTAGTTTGGGAGCCACAGTGTACTGATTGTCTTTTTCCCATTATAACTAACATTAATTAGATATAAATGCTCTGTACTGATATTAGTATAGAAATAAATAAATAAAAATAAATCAAAGATGACTGATGTATTCATCATTGTTTTTAATAACACGTCCTTTCCTGTCCAAAAGCTTAATAACGTCTTCTAATGCAGTGGTGAACAGTTTCGGGGATATGACATCACCCTGTCTTACACTTTGTATGCAAACACCTTAGCTCGATATAATGACAGTCAACATAGTAGTAACAAACGTAGTGCTTATATTCTCTTTGGATAGTCAATTTGGCACCGCTAAAGGGCCTGCGGTACCGTGCAAAATTCGATAGAATCTAAGGCTTTCTCATAGTCCACATACGCTAGGTATAGAGGTCTTCAGTACTCTTCAGTCTTTTGTATAATCTGCCGCAGGGTGTATATGTGGTCTATGGTGCTTCGAAATTTGGCATGTTCGGGAAGCTTGGGGAAGCTGGAAGCCGTCGAGTCTGGAAGAGAAACGATTCAAGATGACTGTTGAAAAGAGCACATAATCGCGGTTAAGGGATATCGATCTATAATTCTTCAAGAGAGATAGATATAGTTCTTCTCCTTATCTCGTGAAGACAGACGGAGATAGTCTTGGAATACTATCGGACTAAATTCGCTCGTGGGTCGTTACTGACACGTGTGTAGCTCCAACGTCAGGTTGTACAGCTGCCATAGAACCTCTCATTCTCACTCAAAACCTCTGGTCTACTGGGAATGATAGCCCCGCTGTCAGTTGGCTTTGTCCGATAGACAGATCTCTAACGAAAGTGACTAGGTTCCGTTGTATAGCCCCCTGTATTGAAGTTACGTAGGTTTCGCCATATATATTTTTGAGGTCAGTCTATTAAGCGCCCTGTATTCAGCGCCACGTGTCAGTTAAAGATTGCAGCTGAATCTCACGTCTTTTTTCAAGGGTTGAGGTTGAGAGTGTGATCTGAGGGTTTTTTGTGTTTTATTTGTACGGTAGGCTTAATCAAATTTAAAGCCAATGACTAGGATAGTTTCCAAGATCTAAGCGTTTATAACTTCTAATTTGTTGCAATTTTCCAGCCATTGGAAGCAATTATGTAACTAGAGCTGAAACCTTTATAAGTTTTGTATATAGGCACGAGATAGACTGGCCTCAGAAGAGATCTTTCTTTCCTTAATGTTAATATTCAACGTGCGTCTCACGAATCTCTACTAATTAGTTTTTATAGTTTAAATAAATTAATTACCTCTCGGTATGATTCGACTATAACGTTTATAGAACGAATCATCTCGGATGTATGAACGTGCGGGATAGGTTCCGTAGTAAGCAGTAAAACCAGCCAAGTGCGACTCGGACTGCCATGATCTATAAAAGCGGCAAAGAATTGTTTTCTGTTCTGTTTTAGTATTTGTGGTTATATGGCAACAGAAATACATCATCTGTAAAATTTTCAACTGTCTAACTAGGTTACGGTTCATGAGATACAGCCTGGTGACAGACGGACAGACAAATAGACATCGGAGTAATAGGGTCCCGTTTTACCCTTTAGGGACAGAACCCTTAAAAGGACAACCGAACTCTAGTAGTAACGGTAGTTTTTAGAGCCTACGACATATTATGCAGACATAGATTAAGAAGTCTAGATACGAATCTGGACTTGTTAATCCATGTCTGGAGGTCGGATGCACCTTCATTTTTATTCCCCGTCTTAAATGAATATTGATATATCTGCTGTGTTTTTCTTTGTTTTCTAACCTACTCAAATTAAAACATTAGGAAATTAATTGAAATCTTAATTATTATCTTAGATATATTGCATTGTGTACAGGATTTGAGGTTCCTTGTATTTTGTTTGTGTCAACAAATCAGCAATTTTATTAATTATATAAATTTAAAAAAGAATTGACACCAAGTTTAACGTCTTACTCGCCGCCCTGCCTATTAATGTGAACTGAAGACTAGATATCTCAAATGGGAAGTTTTCGTAGCTTTACTTTGGAGGCGTACAGAACATAACATCTGTAATCTTAATAAATAAAAATTAATGTTGATAAGCGCATAACTCTAGAATGGCTAGACCAATTCGACTAATTTTTTTTGTATGTTCTTAAAGTCCTCGGAAGGTGTTAATACTATTAAAAAAATAAGAACGAAGTCTGTCATAGCAGCTAGTATAAAATATAATTAACTTAAGAGGGTAAAAAGTGAACCTCTGTTTAGTTCTCTGTTGAGCCATATTCCCTATGTTGAGGTTGAGGTTAATGACTGGTGTTGAGTTAAATTAAAATGTCGAGTCAAAATAATTTTATCGGAAATAGAATTTTTTTCAGGCAATATCGTCTATTTATTTTTTAATACTTCTATAATATATTTCAGTATTTTATGTATCATCTATGATATATTTTGCGAACGTATTTTAACCTAAAATTTTAAAAAAAATAATCAAATGGTTTGGTCTCGTGAGGCGTGATAAAAAACGAGAATTTTCAGGGCTAAATGAAATGAGCCAACTCGATTGTCGTATTAAGTAAAATGTTTGAGCATTCTGTTAAAGTACCAAGACATTACAAAGTTGCAGCTAATATATTAAAAAAAGTGTCAACTGAAGGCGGCAGCGTTAAAACATTATTGTACGACAATAAGCTTCGTCATTTTGTAAGTATTTCTAAAATTTTCTATTTTTTATTTAAAAATCTGCACTGCATACAAACATACATATCTTTGAAAATTACTTATATTTGCAGAGGACAAATGTGCTATTTGCGCTTATAACAGAAACAATAAAACATGCTGCTCATATAGACAAAATATTCGAATGTTCTGGCCTTTTAACAAAAGAATCACGTTTTGATCCTTGGTTAGCAAAAGTTTTAACAGCTGAACTTTTGTTTGGTAAAAAGTCTTTACCTGGAAAGAGTAAACCAGAACAAACAATTTTGTCATACAAAGAGCACTTTGAAAAATACATAGCCGAACATGAAGGCGATTTGAAGACGGAAGGTAATTTTTTTTTATTTCTCATTTCAGATCAATATTGGCAACTTATAAAATTTTAAAATGGCTGATAATTCTGAGGGACCACTCGTACCAGAACACACGAAACGCGCAGCTTTAGTGCTAGCAAATCTTTTCCTGTATAGTATTGCTATGTTCACACTTCCCTTTGTTGCTTTCTTCGGTGTCCGTCATGTACTAACTGATGTGTATCCTGTCGATACATTTCCAAGAACTGTTTGGTCAGTTATTAGTGCAGTGGTAGCAGTGAATATCATCATATTTGTGTATGCTTACAAAGCATACCATGAGAAGGAATATGATGAACATGGCAATGAAATTGATCAGCACTTATATAAGCCATCTCCTACTATTACTGAAAACGAGAGCTCTTTGAATAAAAAGCAAGATTAACATTTTCTGGTAAAATTTTCCATTACCACAGTTTGATTTACCAGGTGCAAAAAAATTTTATTCGATAAAGAAAAATCAATTATAAAATAAACAACAAGTAGAATTATCTGGCTGCGCATAGTTGTCGAGAAAAAAATATTTAAAACTCGTTATTTTCACAAAGAAAGTCCTCCATTTTGTTATTGACAACATGTTAGATATAAAGCTACTAAAAGTTTTTTGTTAAAAATACATACATATTTGAAGTCGCACACTTTTCCAAATGGTAATGTCTCATTAATAAAAAACACTGACGCTTCTTCGTCTTTGGTTTAATTATTACATTGTAACATTTAAAAACTTTCATATTAAATCAAAAATACGTCTTGTCCACACTTTAAACAAACAAAACTTTTTACAAGACACCACGACGACACAAAAAAATTGAAAAGTACTGAACGAGATTCTAATAAAATTTTATAAAAAGAAATAAAATATAAATTACAATACGTACATAATTCATTAGTGCTAGTAGACGCGCACATATTATCCACCATTACAAATACAAATATTAATGGCAGTACTGTATATTGAGAAGTAGTAAAATGGCAGACTTTCGTAGTGAAAATAACAAATTTTAAATAATTTTTATCTCGAAAACTGTGAGTGAGCAGATAATTCTGCGTGTTGATTATTTCATTAGTAATTTTTCTCTATCGAAAAAAGTTTTTTGTTAGCTCGAAAATCAAACTGTGGTAATGGAAATTAATACCCATTTTCTATATAGAAAATTGAATTTGGACATTCCAAATGACTTGTGTACAGTATTATCTTTTAAATGTCATAATAATTATGATGTAGATTAAAAAATGTAGAGCCTAATGTGGAAATAAATAATATTTACAACAAACATTTTTTTGATTATTTCAGCATCTTTGATATTGTCCACAATTAACAATTTTTCAAAAAATAGAGTTTTAAGTATGACATTCATATAATGCCATGCAAAACATGTATATGGCACAAACAAAAGATATATGATGATATTTAACACATAAATAAGCCAAAACATTTTCATCTTGAAAATTAGTTCATTAAAGACATTGAGAATGATAATTTCTAATATACCATAATTAGCATGTACATATAAAATTAGCTTTACTGAAAATTAGAACATGAAAAATATTCCACTCGTTAAATCTATAAACCTCATTCTGAGACTGGTCTAAAATTACATTTAAATAAAAGATAAAGTAAGATTCTTTAGTGTCAGTATTTAAAAAAAAGATGCTTTGATATCAGGAGTATTTTAAATTTCTCTTGCCATTGAATTGTGGAAACCTCTGCTAAAAAAATTATAATAACCATTTAACTTATACTCTTATGTGAAGAGATATCATTATGTTTCCTTTCCAAAAGTGATCAGTCCCATAAAATAAATCCATTTTTATTTTATATAAGTGGAGTCCAAAATTAACCAAGTATATTAATTTACGAATAAGAAATCAAAGAAATTATTGTGAAAATGTATTCATATGAGGAAGTATATTAATTTACGAATAAGAAATCAAAGAAATTATTGTGAAAATGTATTCATATGAGGAAGTATATTAATTTACGATTAAGAAATCAAAGAAATTATGGTGATCATATGAGGCGTAAAATTAAATGCCCATAATTTAGTGTTGAGTGTGATTCAGTTGTCCGCAGGCCCCGCTATGTGCGTATCAACACCAATCATTTAACAACATCAGATGCAATAAGAGCATTCCAAGAAGAGGGTTACCACTTCATCAGGTGTACATCAGGCTCATACAATGACTATCTCAGTCAGATACAAAGTCTCACAGAATATGATTTCACACAGGATTACCATGTGAAGACTATATTTGTTTTTGCTCCCGGTACCAAGTTACATGAACATGAATTGTATGTGGAGAATAAGATCATTCTTCAAGACAAGGTATGTAGATTTACTACAATGTAAACTGTAGGCTTGTTATGCAGTTAAACATATAGTACCTGGAGGACCAAGCTTTGCTCGTTTTTTTTGTAAACCATGTATTTTGGAAATAATAAAAATAAAAAATAAAGAAAGCAATGATCTGGTATAGAAAAAAAAATAAGTGTGTTAATGATCGTGATCGATTTTTCGCCCCTGAATCTACGCACATACTAAATTTCATGAAAATCGCTGGAGCCGTTTAGAAATATTTTATGCAATCTGAGAAGTTTAGAAATATTTTTATATAAGGGCTATAGGACTAGGATATATAGATATTCCATGCAGTCTAAAAGCCCTCCAATATGTATACTATATATATTAATATATATATAAATTTATATATATATCTTAAATACGGAGATTAGTATTATAAAAAAATTTAATTTGGGAAAAGCAATAGTCTTGTTCGAATTATCGTTGTAAAACGAAATTCGAAATTGTTTGTATGCTGGAAAGAATATAACAATGGATGCACCAAGCATTACTTAAAATGCAGAGATTAGCACTATAAAAAATTTAAATCTTTGTTTTGGACAGATGTCTCTATTTTGGGGGTATTGTTTCGCATAGGTAAATTAGTACTTATAAATCAAGCTCAAACCAGAGTTCCTCTGTTTAGCAATGGACAGAATGCAGGAGTTTTTCCGTCTGGGGTATCTTCGTTGAACTGCCTTAAACATATATGGCTTTGATTCCACTTAATATCATGTGGAATATTAGTTAATTTTTCGACAGTTTCTGATCATAGAAATATTCCAGGCAACCGCAATGGCCGTGCACCTTTTGGCGCCACCGGCTGGCAGCACAGTGCTGGACTTGTGCGCGGCGCCCGGCATGAAGACCACGCAACTTGCCGCTTACATGCGGAATGAGGTAAATTTGCGGAGCAACTTTTGTTTGCTGGCGTTGTAAAGCTCATTAAAACAGACGTGGCAGGATGGCGCAAAGTTTTTTATTATAATAATAAAGTTATAAACTAAACTGGATGGAAGGTTTTATGATAATTCCGGATTGTGAAACGATCTCACAATATATTAACTGAAATAAAATGCATCATGCACCCTGCACTGTTTATTTATTTAAAAAGTAATTGTTTTATTATTAACATAGTAACAGCATTTATATGTCCCACTGCTGGTTAAAATCCACCAGCACACATTTTTCGAGTAACTCTATTTATTGATGTAACTTGTTAGGCTACTTAACAGTTGAAACGGTTTTAGCATGAGACCTACATATAATTTATGCTAAACTAATTCTCTGAAAGTGCTATCCACCATGTCAAAGGAGATGTTCCATTAAATTAAAAATAAAAACGTCAGCCTTTCAATTTTTAACGTAAAGCAAAATCTCGCTTCGTAAAAAAGTTTGTATGTTTGATTAACAAACGTTTGGTTTTCTGTTTTGTTTTAAAGGGTAAAATCTACGCGGTGGAGCGAAACGAGCAGCGTTATCAGACGTTGTGCGATTTCGTTGAGAAAACCGGATCCAAGTGCGTAGAGACCTTACACAAGGACGCGTTGGAGATAAAACGGGGTGACTACGATGAAGTGGAGTATATTTTACTGGACCCCAGCTGCTCTGGTTCGGGTAAGATATATAAGATATTGTTGGTAAAATGATGTAGAATTAGAAGCTGACATCCATTTTATAATTTTCGTATTTTGTTGTGATATGATATACTAGTCTTCATACGGTACATTGGGTTTTATCTTGTTCGAGTTGAAGAGGTACACAAGAATAATCGTAAAGTTAATCGCAAACAGGTATATTAATTGACTTAGATATGCAATGGATTAATGCATTATAAAAGTAACTAAATCAATGCTTTCATTGCAAGCCCACTAGTCTTATTACTCTATGAAAGTAAACTTTATTGGTAGGATACACACTACACAGACCAAACTAGTTTAAAATTCATCTGTTTGTCATGTTCCATAAATAAGGAAACTTAAATGTAATAATAAAAAACGGGTGTTGTATAATGTACAACATACATACGTATACATCTAACTGCTACTGAATTTCCTTTCACTTTTAATCGATAGTTTGTTTTAACTTACAGGTATGGAATTATGTGTTCATAATTACATCGAGGACACTCGATTAGCTAAATTGACGTCGTTGCAAGAAAAATTCCTGAAACACGCTATGAATGCATTTCCTAAAGCGAAGAGGATAGTTTATAGCACGTGCTCTTTGTTCCCAGAAGAGAACGAAAGAGTCATTACCAACATCGTCAAAACGTCAAGAGCAAAGTGGAGAGTCCAAGACGTGAAAGAGCTGCTAAAAGGCCAATGGAATAACTTTGGCTCGGGAATGTATGGAAGTATAGGTACAAGGTGTATGTACGCAAAACCGGACACTGATTTTACAATTGGGTTCTTTCTGGCGGTTCTAGACAGAGATCCAAAAGATTTTGATAAACAAGAGAAGCGTGCGATGAATGCAACAAACGGAGTTGAAGACGTACTACACAAGAAGAATCGTAAAGTTAACAAGGAAGTAAACTCGCCAAATTGCAATAATATTGATACGGAACCGCAAACAGGAATATTAAGTGAGTTAGATATGCAAGAGCAAAACTACGATCAAAATGATAATGACTGGACCCATAAGAAGAAGAAGAGAAAGAAATTGAAGGTCGTTGAGGAAAACTGTCCTAATAATGAAAACTTTACCGGCAATCCTGTAGACAAAGTTAACGAAGTAACGGATGAAAACGTAAATAGTAAAACAACAAAAAAATCTAAACTAACGCCATCGGAAGAAGGTGAAAATATAAACACGGATACAGAAGAAGCAGCTCGGGAGTCAACAATAAGTGGTGAAGTAAATAATAAAAAAAGAAAGAAGAACAAAAAAAGTGATAAGGATAAAAAAAATGATTTTGAAAATATTGAAGCTAATTACTGTGATGATCAGGAAGAAGGTCCAATAGAAAGCTCATCTCAAAAAAGGAAGCGTGGTGGAACCAAGGATGCAGAAGAATTATTGATCGAATCTTCTAATACTGATAATGAAAGAAGAAAAAGAAAGAAAAAGAGGCAACGAGATTTTTCTGAAATAGAAAGTGAATTACAGCTTGATTCCAACGATTCGGAAAAATCGGGAGGACCAAAAAAGAAAAAGCGGAAGGAGCAGATAATTGATGTTTAAATAACGACTACTGCAATTTTTATTAAATTAATAATAACAATTAAAAACTGTACTGATTTTAATCACTCTTCAAATCTTTGAAATATATTGGATCACTACTTAACTAAACTTAGACTAAGCATTAGATTTAGGTCGACATGGCAATAAGAATCTGCACCTTTAAGAAAACAAGAGGTATTAAATTAAAAAAGTACAATTCTTGACAAAAAAAAAACCGACTTCAATCGGAAAATTAAAAACATTTTTAATACCCATAGCATTCAATGATGGCCCTGGAATTCTCTGGGATGCCAATATCAGATCCGGATTTCCTTATCATGGTACCACCCTTGGGATATCTCCTTTCCAACAAAAAAATAATCATAAAAATCGGTTCATAAACGACGAAGATATCCACGGACACACATAAAACAAAAATAAAAATATATACGGTCGAATTGAGAAACTCCCTACTTTTTTGAAGTCGGTTAATAAAGTAAAACATATTTGTTCTCTACGCTCGAGCAACGTAACATGTAATACACGCAACTGAATGTATTGGTGACTGAATGTCTATTAAACGATGGAAATTGTATTTTGACTTCATTTTAACTGTTACGGCCATGCAAAACAAAAGTCTTTCGCTCCTACACGAACGACACTACTACAACGAACCGCCGTGAAGTGGAAGTGCTTTACCTCTGCGTATCGTCTAGTGAGTGAGGTAGGCGAGCTCACTTTATTAAAGTGTAGCAACGCATCTGCGACTCTACTGGTGTTGAAAATCAAAAATCAAAATCAATAATATATTTATTCAAATAGACGCTTGCGCGCTGTTATGAATCGTGAAATTTCACATGAAAGATTATGTATATAGGTTCCTAAGGTACCACCGGTTCGGAAAGCAGTTTCTGTTGAGAAGAGACCGGCAAGAAACTCGACAGTTGCTCTTTCTCAAAAATATCAGGGTACAATATAATATACAGGTATAATAGTCTTATTCGGCAGTGGTTATCATTTAACATCAGGTGAAACGTTGGCTTGCCACCTTCTCAGATAAAGAAAAAATTGTGCGTGCAGCCGTGCGCGGAAGAAATGAAACTTCGATTGCCACGCATTCACTCGCTCTGTCTCTATCGTTTAACGCAACAGTGTTTTCATACTCCTCCGTGGTAGCGTTAAACGTTTAACGCAACCTTGTTGGTAGTTACATTAGAAGTTTCACATCAAAAAACTGTTACGGCAATGTAGAAGCTTCTGCTGTTAGACGAACGGGCATGTTCGACGGAGGAGGAGTACTAAACTCAAGTATACTCACTTGAAGTGAAATCATTACTCTTTCGTATTTCATTTAATGAGTGAGGTAACTGGTCCCCACTTTTTAAGATTGGCAACGCATCTGCAACAAACTTTTGTTAATATCGGCTGGTGACGGTTATCACTTAACATCAGGTGAACCTTAAGCCTGTTTGCTTACGAAATTTACTTAAGAATACACATTTTTTTAAATGAAAATTTAGTCAATTTCTAAAATGAAGTTCATTTATAAAGAAAAATCTGTTTTCGCCTTTTAATTACTACTTTAATGTATTACTAGGATTAACAAATGTGACAAGTACTTAATGATTTGCTACTTAATTAAAATCTCACAGAATCGTTTGACATGTCCCTTACATTGATTGCTATGCTTGATATTCCGTAGCTGGAACAATAATTATCTGCAGGTCGAGAATCAACCCACGGTTTCCAAAACACCAAAAATGGATTAACGACCAATTGTTGAAATCGTAATACTAAAGTTTATTCTAATGATATAATAATTGTACTAGGCAATTTAACGTGAGTGAATAAACGTGCGAGGGCGCCATCTATAATTTTTCAGAAGTAATTAAAATTATTTTCAAAACATATAAGCTTCAGGCGTGATTAATAAATAGATTTGTCATCTAAATTTTGACAGGATAACACTTAAAAACGGGGTAATATAGGATTTGGAATTTGATAAGCCCTTTTTTACTTGTGGAGGTGGTTTAGCCGTGGTACAGCCACGTAACGGTACTTACCCGGACGGTCCTGCCCATTGCAGTTAAGTCCGCAGGGTAAGTACCACGACCTCACAAAGACCGGCGTGAAGTGGACTTTTGCTAATCGTCTGGTGAGTGAGGTACCCAGGGTCCACTATATTAAAAGGTGACAACGCAACTGCAACACTACGGATTATCTTGTATTAACTGATGTTTTTGCTTTCAGTCCTGAGACTATTAAAGCTTCATCTGACGCAGAACCGGTGGGCTAGCCAGAACCCACGGATTTGGGCCCTCCGCTGTGGGTAGGGCCACGCATGTGCGTTTAACTACGACATGTCATCTAAGGGCCATCAAAGTTGTGGTGCGGACCGAGACCCCGATGGCCGTCGACTGTCTTTTAAGCTAATCCTGCCCTGTAATAACCGCCCTGGAACGCGGGTGTACCTTGTGTACGCGTTGTGTTAACTACGGATTATGCAAATGTGAATGAGCGGCGTGATCACTTAAGATCAGCTGAACCGCTAGCTCGCTTGATATCTTCTTATACAAAAAACAAACCTTTGGTAGATTTTGCCAGTTCTTATCACTAAGCTAAATAGGTTACAACAATAAAATTTAAATACTTCACTGCTCAGCTAAACGCACAGCTTATGCAAAGTCAATAAATCCATCGCATTAAGTGGGGCAAGCGTCATAAACGATGTTTAAATCGTCTGACGGTCTAGCCATTTTTCTACGAATAAAAACTTGGCATTTTTTTACCCCATCGCCTTATCGTTCGATTGTGAACCGTATCACGTCAGTATATACTTCATTTTTGATCGATAGAAGCCTGTTAAGCTGCAGTCGCACGCCAGTTTGTCACGAACCGTGTCGTGCGTTCTTATTTTCAACGCTTACGTACAAAGTTAATACATATTCATATGAATACGTAATTGAATAATTGTTTCTTTGTAACTACTTTTTTTAAAGGGGTGCTAAATGTTGGTAGGTGATTTTTAACAGTGCATATTTTATGAATTATATTGTAAATGTGGCCTCATTTAATTGTCCTAAATTAACGACCATCTTATACGCGTTCCCATGATGGATATATTGGGAGTGGCTTAAATATGTGGGTTAAGTCTTTTGGTTTGCTTGTGAATCCTAGTAAATTACAAGTGTTTATTATTGGCAGCTCACATATTATACTAAACACTCAAAAATCTAGAGTCTAGATAGAACAAAACTCCATGTTTTAAATGACAACATTCAGAGAGATACTGCCAACAACTTGAGATTATTTTGTGGCCTGCGTAAATTTCCTCACGTTCCTGATTACATAGCACTTTTACAGTGGCTCCCTATCCATAGACATCGAGACTAACATGTACTATCATTTTTTTATTTCTTACTATAATCCTATAGATCCTTCATATCTCCGTCAGCGGTTTGAATCGTTGTTCTGTTACCTCGCGAAACTCGGTGCCGCACTATGGAATCCCTAAACCGACACCGAATTATTTTACTAAAAGTTGTGATGCGTCATTTACTGCAAAGGCCGATGAAGTTACTATGAAAAATTTGTGATAGAATTTTGTAGTTGTTTAACGGTGGTAGGGCCACGCAGGAGCCTCGGCTGTTGCACGAATGGGCAGGCCCGTCCGGGTTAGTACCACGACCTCACAGAAGACCAGCGTAAAGTGGAAGTATGACAAATACTTTCGCGTTTCGTCTGGTGAGTGAGGTAGCCGGAGCCCAATTTCCAACAGGTTGTCAACGCATCTGTAACCCTCGGGTGTGGCAGATGTCCATGGGCGGCGGTATTCACTTAACATCAGGTGAACCGTTTGGTCGTTTGACAACTTTTCGCATAAAAAAAAAAAGTTGAATAATTGATTGATAACTGTTTATGTGCATCAATTGGTATTTTCATAAAATTTGCATGAAATAATCAATACTAAATCTACAATCACATAAATATGTAGTTTCGGGTTGCTTTTTAAGAAAATAAAAATTTATTTTCTTACCGCGTACATTGCGTCCTACTTTATTTACGACGTACTAAGAAAGGTGTATTGTTCCCGCTAAAATTTTTCTAAACGCTGTATTTGAATATTATACCATTTCAAGATTAGTTACATGCATAGGTCATTTGATTAATACTGGCCTAATAGTCACTTTATCTAAATATATTATATTTTTGTACAATGATTAGATAGTATAACATAATATGCCGATTGTTATAACTTTGGTTGTAACATATAGATGCCAAATGCAAAATACATAGCCTGCTGGCCCATGACCATTTGAAACAAATTAATAGAAATATGTGCAGTGTTTCCGGAGGTTGTCTTCTACCTAAACGTATAATAAGAAAATTCGCAATGTTTCTTATATTTTTCATTAATTATATAACTGTATATTACATTAGTTATGGCTTTATCTGCATTTATAGCGTATGTGTAATACATACAGCTAAATAGAATAAAGTTACAGACGTTATACGTTCATTTGAATGCGTGTCTAATTTCAAACTCTAAAAACTAAAACGAGACAAATGTAATCGCAACAGCTCTCATTTCCCTCAGATAATTATGGCGTAACAATCCGACTGTCGAAAGTTTTATGGGTCACGTTGTCCTTGAAGTTTCTATTACTTACTTTTCCTTTTTACTATGATCGCTTACTTTGTCGTCCTTGATCTAATTGGGAATTATGCCGGGCCCACACGCGTGCGTTTCGTGTACGGCGCACTCGTTTATGGGAAATGCTCGTGACGAATTCTATTACGAGCGCTTATTTACTCTGGTTCCTGGACTAACACCTACTATACGTTTAGAATTGTAACGTGTTATTAGAATAATGGCAGCTTTCTTACGTCAACTCGAAATCAGTTCGCAATTTCCTGACAATTTACCAGCTGGATTGCTTTGGGTAATAAATGTTTGAGTTTTTTCAGGACTTTAAACTATTCAAATTACGCTGTTAGCCAGGAAGCCTTGTGAGGTC